AGCGAGACTCCGAAAAAAAAAAAAAAAAAAAAAAATAATAATAATAATAATAATAATGACCACAAGGCTCTGTCTTCAAGAGATACTCCAAATTATTTTTGGCATTTTAGGGTTGAGTAAGTTTTATTATTATTATTATTTTATTTTTTTTTTTTGAGACAGGTTCTCACTCAGGTGATCCACACACTCCTTTAGGTCCCCTGCTGATTCTCTGAGTGATCTTGTGTAGCTGCTTTCAGTGGATCCTGCTTTTCTGCTTTTTCTTTTTCTTTTCTTTCTTTCCTTTTTTTTGAGACAGAGTTTTGCTCTTGTTGCCCAGGCTGGAATACAGTGGCGCAGTCATGGCTCACTGCAGCCTTGACTTCCTGGGCTCAAGTGATCCTCCCACCTCATCCTTCTGAGTAGCCAGGACTGCAGGAATGTGTCACCATATCCAACTAATTTCTTTTTCTTTTCTTTTTTTTTTTTTTGTAGACACAGGGTCTTTCCGTGTTCCCCAGGCTGGTCTTGAACTCTTGAGTTCAAGCAATCCACCCACCTTGGCCTCTCAGAGTGCTGGGATGATAGGCGTGAGCCACCACATACGGCCAATATTTGGATTCTCTTTTTTTTTTTGAGATTGAGTCTCGCTCTGTCACCAAGGCTGGAGTGCAATGGTGGGATTATAGGTGCCCACCACCATGCCCAGCTAATTTTTGTATTTTTAGTAGAGATGAGGTTTCACCATATTGGCCAGACTGGTCTCAAATTCCTGACCTCAGGTGATCCACACACCTCGGCCTCCCAAAGTGCTGGGATTACAGGCGTGAGCCACTGCACCCAGCCCCAATATTTGGCTTCTTGTTCTTGCCTGAAATGTTATGTTCATTTCCCGCTAGGGATAAAATAGGAATATATTTCGTGTATAGGTCCACCAGCAGGTGTTGGAATGGTAATAGTAGTCTCTGAACAGACCCTGGGTGATCTGTGGCACTCTGGAAGCTAAGGCACTCTGATCCCCAGCTCAAGGTGTGGGGTGGACTTGAACAAGTCACTTCATCCCTCTGAACTTTGGTTTACCTATCTGCAAAAAGATGTCTGCTTCACAGATCTGCGATTACAACTTGAGGTCATATGCTTAAAGGACAGGGCACATGAAAGGCACTCAATCAGTAACAACATCTTGTGAGTGTGTTTGCTATTTTTATTGCTAACCCTGCTTCTTAGGCATGTCTGGGACAATGAGTGTCACCTTTTGAATCCTACAGGTGAATCTTGGTGTGTAGACTTCAGACCTTGTTTAAGCACAAAGGTTTTTTTTTTGTTTTTTGTTTTCTTTTGAGGTAGGCTCTTGCTCCATCGCCCAGGCTGGAGTGCAGTGGCGCGCTCTTGGCTCACTGCAAGCTCCGCCTCCTGGGTTCACGCCATTCTCCCGCCTCAGCCTCCCGAGTAGCTGGGACTATAGGCGCACACTGCCACGCCCAGCTAATTTTTTGTATTTTTAGTAGAGATGGGGTTTCACCATTCACAGGATGGTCTCGATCTCCTGACCTCATGATCCACCCACCTCGGCCTCCCAAAGTGCTGGGATTACAGGCATGAGCCACCGTGCCTGGCCAATTTTTGTATTTTTAGTAGAGATGGATTTTCACCATGTTGCTCAGGCTGGTCTTAAACTCCTGACCTCAGGTGATCCACCCGCCTCAGCCTCCCAAGGTGCTGGGATCATAGGCTGCTTTTTTTCTCATCCTGTGAAATACAGTCCATGGCATTTAATTCTGACTGCATTGGCCCAAGGCTTCTGGCATTGTCCACGTAACTGGCAGCTGGTGGCATGAGCCAGGACAGAGTTCTTATGAGTATGAGGGCACTGCTCATTTCCTGAGTGGGACTGAGGCAGTTTTGGGTTCTGCCCTTCTCTGACAGGCATCAGGCAGGGCAGGTTTTTCCTTGCCAGTGTAGGAGGGGGACAGGCTTATTGTGTGTAAAGGGACAGTGTCATGTCTCAGGAGTTAAGCAAGTTTGGAAAGGAACCTCCATGAGAGCCAGGGGTTGTGGGCTTTTAAATAGCACATTCTCCTTTTCTCAGAATTTCCATTTTTACTGATCAAGTATGTAGACTCTTTGTTTTAAATCTGCTCTTCTCTGTTACTTTTACACCACCTTTTGGAGTGGTCCCCATCTTTGCTAAAGTTACTTATTTGATACTTTAACTTTCCCCTTAGACTGTGTGCTCCCCTTATGGAGTCCTGGGACCTAGCATGGTAAACCTGCACCTAAGAGACCTTTAGTAAATACTAGTTAAAGGAAAATTCAGGATAGGTTTTTTTCTGGAGGAACTGAATACTTAATATTTGTGTTTATTATAATATTTGAAAATAGCTGGGCATGGTGGCTGACGCCTGTAATCCCATCATTTTGGGAGACTGAGAGGGCAGATCACTTTAGGGCTGGAGTTGGAGACCTGCTTGGCCAACATGGAGAAACCTGTCTCTACTAAAAAATACAAAAATTAGCTGAGCGTGGTGGTGCGTGCCTGTAATCGCAGCTACTCAGGAGGCTGAGGCAGCAGAATTGCTTGAACCTGGGAGGCAGAGGTGGCAGTGAGCCAAGATTGCACCACTGTACTCTAGCCTGGGCAACAGAGTGAGACTCCGCTTCAAAAAAAAAAAAGACAATTGACCTTTAAGCTGTGTTTCTCGGCCAGGTGCGGTGGCTCACGCCTGTAATCCCAGCACTTTGGGAGGCCGAGGCGGGCAGATCACGAGGTCAGGAGATAGAGACCATCCTGGTGAACATGGTGAACCCTTGTCTCTATTAAAAATAGAAAAAGGTAGCTGGATGTGGTAGCACGCACATGTAGCCCCAGCTACCCAGGAGGCTGAGGCAGGAGAATCGTTTGAACCCGGGAGGCAGAGGTTGCAGTGAGCTGAGATCACGCCATTGTGTTCTAGCCTGGACGAGAGTGAGACTCCATCTCAAAAAATAAATAAATAGGGCCAGGCGTGGTGGCTCACGTCTGTAATCCCAGCACTTTGGGAGGCCAAGGCCGGTGGATCATCTGAGGTCAGGAGTTCAAGACCAGCCTGACCAACATGGTGCAACCCCGTCTCTCCTAAAAAATATATAAAAATTAGCTGGGCATGGGCACATGCCTGTAATCCCAGCTGCTCAGGAGGCTGAGGTAGGAGAATCGCTTGAACCCAGGAGGTGAAGGTTGCAGCGAGCCGAGATCGTGCCATTATACTGTAGCCTGGGTGACAGAGTGAGACTCCATCTCAGATAGATAGATAGGTAGGTAGGCAGATAGATAGATAGATAGATAGATAGATAGATAGATAGATAGATAGATAGATAGATAGATAGATAGATAGAAAGAAAGAATGGCTAGAGTGAGACTGTCTCGGATGGATGGATGGATGGATGGGTGGATGGATGGATGGGTGGGTGAGTGGGTGGGTGGATGAATGGGTGGGTGGGTGGATGGATGGATGGGTGGGTGAGTGGGTGGGTGGATGAATGGGTGGGTGGGTGGATGGATGGATGAATGGATGGATGGGTGGCTGGATGGTTGGATGAAAGATAGTATTTCTCACCAAGCTGTCTTCTTGAGTGTTGAATATGTGTTTCATTTACGCCCTTTTCTTTCTGTGGGCCTAATGATGAAGTTGCAAGAGTGAGAGACCATGTGCTGTGATGGCCACTAGACAGGATAGCAGGGCTGCTGAATCTCATTGTGCCTGCAGGTGGCTCATTTAAGCTCTCTGAGCCTGTACTTCCTCATCGTGGAATAGCAGTGCCCAGTCTGCCTGTCTTGCAAGGGTATGGTGAGGGTCACATGTGACTTCAAGTTAAATGCAAAGGAATAGATTTAATTTCATATACACAGAACAAAATCTGGAAGGAAACACCATAGTTATGTATTAAATAAAATTTTTAACATTGAAACGGTGGGAAATTATATACATATTGTTTTCCATTTATGTGCCAGGAGAAGATGAGGAAGAAATGGAGCATCAGGAAGAAGGCAAAGAGCAGCTTTCAGAAACAGAAGGCAGTGGGGAAGATGAGCTGGGAAATGACCCCACTAAGACCACGCAAAAGAAGATCAAAGGCCAGCCCTGCCCAAAAAGGCTTTTTACCTTCAGTCTTGTGAACTCCTATGGAACAGCTGACATAAATTCACTTGCAACTGATGGAAAACTACTTAAACTCAACTGTAAGCACTTTTTCTGACCTTTCAAGCTGGGCTTTAGGGACTTAGGATCTGTTCGAAAATCCTTGCACTCGATACTTACCGCATTGGGCTTTCACAGTCTCTGTGCCTCCAGGAGCAGACACTCGTATGATCCTTGACTTGAAGCCCCCTAAGGACTGTTTCAAAGGTCTCCCTACCTTTCAGGCTTTTCTCCTCGGTCCTCGATGACCTCGGAGGAAAGTAGGTCTCTCTCCACTCCCTCTGTGGGAGTTTGCTGTGGGTCAATAACCTTCCCCATGGCCACTCTTGGCAGTAACATTTCTCCATACTTGTTCACTTATAAGAATAAACGCATATTTATTTTGTTCATTAATGCTCAAGAAATGTGATCCATTCAGAGGATGGTCATGGATTTTGTAGCCTCACCGTCACATGGAGGTTGTAATGGAGACTGCTGTACAGACAGGAAGAGGCATTCCGAGGAGTTGTGTGAAAAACACAATTGGCCAGTGAGGACACGTGCCAGCTGGGGGAGGGGAAGCATCTCTGTCTTTCAGCTCCCTTCCCACCTCACCCTCCTGAGTAGCTGAGACTACAGGTGCGCACCACCATACCCAGCTAATATTTATAGTTTTTGTAGAGACAGGGTCTCACTATGTTGCCCAGGCTGGAATGCCTTGCAAATTCTAGCCATCTTCTCAAACTCCAGTCTTTGACTCTTCAGCTTAATCTCTCCCTCTCTTCCCTATGCTAAGTCCTGGCAACTGCCTGCAGGCAATAAGTTAGGACGATGTAGGGGTCTCTTTTTTCCCCTTCTCTCAGGGATCTCCTTCCTGCTGTATCCAATGTCTGAAAACAATTGTTTCATCCATTTTCAGGTTTTTTTTGGTTTGTGGTAGGATGATAAATCTGGGCCCTATTACTCCATCTTGACCTGTGCCCTTTCAGAATTCTCCATAGTTAGTTCCTTTGTAGCTTATCTGTATCACTAAGGAAGTCTTTGCCAAAGGCTTTTTGGGTCTGGGGGTCAGAAGGGCTGGCCCATTGCAGAGCATTGCTCTTGGCAGTGGCTGCTGATGGGGGAGAAGGTGTTGATGGTGTGGCCTGAGTGTGATCCTTCTCACTCTTGTCACCTGGAGAGCCTCTCCTGTTGCTTGCCATTCCATAACAAGTGACATTTTGGTCCTCCTCAGCTCGATCTACACTGGCCATCGATTGGGACAGTGAAACTCGGAGCCTTTACTATGATGAGCAAGAATCTGAGGTAGGTCCCTTGGGGTTTGTGGTCGGTGGTGTCTGCTGATTTCTGCTCTGGATGTGGACTGCGATCACTTTCACCAGTTGCACAGCAATTTAGCAAGTTATATTTAAGACTGAGAAGGAAAAGCACTTCAAGAGTTTGTCATTTTATGTTCAGAGTCTCTAGAAAGGTTACTACATTCCAGGTGGGAGAGCCTCTGAAGGCCTTCGTGTCTTAATGCAGTAAGATCTCTTTCTCCAGCAGAACTGAGTGCTTTGTTTCCCATAGGCCTACGAGAAGCATGTGAGCATGTTGCAGCCTCAGAAGAAGAAGAAGACCACAGTGGCCCTGAGAGACTGCATAGAGCTCTTCACCACCATGGAGACCCTTGGGGAGCATGACCCCTGGTATGCAGCTCCTCACTTTCTGAGCAGAGGCCCCATGCACCCCAGGACTCAGATCTGCCAGGGCCATCTGTGCACATAAATCCTTTGTGTTTGGATGTGTCACTTCTTTATATAGCCAACCCTACAACATAGTCCTCTGTGAGTTGAGGTTTCCTAGGAAAGCCATCACCCCATTTTGGAAGACAGGTCCCTGGCCAGAAGCAGTAGTGTTGAGTGCTGACCTAAAGGATGGCAGCTGTCAGGGGACTGCAGCTGTGCCTCCATGCATGAGTGCCGAGGTGGTACCGGCTGCCTGCCTGCCCTACTAAGTAGAGGTTTTTCTTTTCAGGTACTGTCCCAACTGTAAGAAGCATCAACAGGCAACAAAAAAGTTTGACCTATGGTCCTTGCCCAAGATCCTGGTGGTCCACCTCAAACGTTTCTCCTACAACAGATACTGGAGGGATAAGCTCGACACAGTTGTAGAATTCCCAATCAGGTGGGTCATGGTGACTACTGTGTTAGGAACATTTAAAAACAGGCAGAAAATCTTGGCACTGACTGGCTGAGTGGTTTGCCACCAAAAACTTTTCTGAGTAAGGATGTGTGTTGCTGGGCTCTAGGAGGTCAGAGTTTAGCTGTAGTTACCCCTCCTGTGTCTATCCTGCATCTTCGGGGAAGAGACTCTTCAGTGGAACATTTGCCCAGACACAGGCTATTCACAGTCATCCCTGCCACTGCTAGTTTCCCTCTCAGGTCACTTAGGCTACCTAACTATCCTGTTTTTCCTGTCCATCATCTGTCACAGGTAGCCTCACCTTAGCAGAGGCAGTCCAATAGGGGACAAGGCAACCAAGAATAGCCTGCCAGGGAGAGCTGGGTTATTACTGGGGGATGCAGTTGGGCTGCAGACCTGCCATGGTCCTGTCCCTGGGGTAGGGACTGGGACTGGCTGTCTACTCATATCCTCTCAAGCCCCACGGTACAGACCGTAACTAAGAACAGGAAAGTAAGTCAACAGATAGATGTTCCCTGGCTGGGCACAGTGGCTCACGCCTGTAATGTCATCAATTTGGGAGGCCAAGGTGGGAGGATCACTTGAGCCTAGGAGTTCAAAAACAGCCTGGGAAACAGACTTCCTCTCTACAAAAAATAAAAAATATATTTAAAAAAAATAGGCTGGGCATGATGGCTCACGCCTGTAATCCCAGCACTTTGGGAGGCCAAGGTGGGCGGATCACAAGGTCTGGAGATCGAGACCATCCTGGCCAACATGGTGAAACCCCATCTCTACTAAAAATACAAAAGTTAGCTGGACATGGTGG